CCCCCCCCCCCCCCCCCCAAGCTCCATACCCCTGAATCCCAACAGGCCCCATAGCCTCAAACCCCGGAAAGCAAGACTTCAAAAATCCGAACCCTTTCTAAACTCCTGAAGAATCTTCATATACCCCTTCGGAGACCTCTCATTACGGAAGCTTTTTTTGGAAGCCCTTCTCAAACAGACCCTGGTAAAAATAAAAACAAAACTTCTGGGACCCTGACTTGGATGGAGGCGAAAGCCCTAAAGCCCTTGCGCCGAACTCTGAGCCCTCGAAGTTCCAAACCCAAAGGCCTATAGTGAATCCCTAAAAGTTGGAAACCGGATGAGGGACAAATAGTGCCGGGATTCCCTATACATTATTCATTATTCTTAAGGATTGAGGCTATTGGGTTTCCAACTTTTGGGCTTCTACTGTAAACCAAAACCCTAAACCCCAAAAGCCCCTATCCCCTCAGCAGAAAGGTTCCACCGTGCGCGGGCGCAGATCACCGCTGTGGGAGACTGAGGGGAGGGCGCTCACAAGAGACCCGCGACGCCAGACCGCTTGTACTTAAAGGACCATGGGACTTAGTAGCTAGGGTGATAGAGCCCTAAACCCTAAACCCTAAACCCTAAACCCTAACATAATCTTACTAACTACACTGATGATCTTCCATTTTTTCCAGGGGTGTCAACGAGGGTCCAGAACTGCTTTTTTTTGGGGGGTCTCATAGGGTCTCACAAGGTGTTTACAGGACGGCTCTTGTAGGGCTTTCTGCTTTCATCGTCTGGGTTTGGGGGTCCCTAAACCCCAAATCCTAAACTAAAAAACACCTTAAATCCCTAAACCCCTAAACCCTAAATCCCTAAATCCCTAAACCCTAAATCCCTAAACCCTAAATCCCTAAACCCTAAATCCCCAAACCCTAACGACCCCAAATCCGAGGCCATGAACCCCAAGGCCCCCCGGAAGCTGCCCCAAAGCTGCCCAGTCTACGGTAAAAGGTCTCAGCGGTTGAGGCCTTGAAGGTTTAGGGATTTAGGGTTTAGGGGTTTAGGGTTTAGGGATTTAGGGTTTAGGGTTGTAGGGTTTAGGGTTTAAGGTTTAGGGTTTTGGGTTTAGGGATTTAGGGTTTAGGGTTTAGGGTTTAGTGTTTAGGAGCTCCCAACAGGAGCCCTAGAATACCTTGTAGTAGGCCTTATCGCAGCTCTTATAGAATCCTTGTAGCAGTTCTTTTGGTAGCTCTTATAGAGATAGAGCCTTTATAGTAGTTCTTTCTGTAACTCTTGTTATAGAACCCTCATAGTAGTTCTTTTAGTAGCTCTTATAGAACCCTTATAGCAGTTCCTTTAGTAGCTGTTCTAGAACCCTTACAGTAGTTGTTTTAGTAGCTCTTATAGAACCCTTATAGTAGTTCCTTTAGTAGCTGTTCTAGAAGCCGTATAGTAGTTCGTTTAGTAGCTGTTCTAGAACCCTTACAGTAGTTCGTTTAGTAGCTCTTATAGAACCCCCAGGGGAAACCTTGTAGAACCCAGGCTCCGGGCCTCGGAGTTCAAACTCACCGAGCCCGCCTAAGTTTGAGGGTTCAGGGTTTAGGGTTTAGGGTTTACAGGGTTTAGGGTTTAGGGTTTAGGTTTTATAGGGTTTAGGTTTTGTAGGGTTTAGGTAAAAAGCAAAAGCCCAAAACGTGCCAAAACCCTTCTTCTGACTACGTTATTGTCATAAGCGACAGTATCCCCCTACAGTGCTTGGAGACCTCGTCTATCATAAACCCCAAATTCTGATTCTTAATGCCCGCGTTTGCCGTCTCCACGTCAACTCCAACCCCAACACGCCTAACCCTAAACCCTAAACCCCGTAAAACCTGAAAGCCTAAACCCTATACCCTAAACTCTTGTGTCCCTTCAACACAAACCCCACACCAAATTTCTAACATAGGCATATACGACTCGTACACAGCGCTCAACACCAAACCCAGAAGCACAACACCTAAAGCCACCCCAAACCCTGAAACCCTAAACCCTTAAGCCCAAGCCCTAAACCCTACAAGCCCCAAAATACCGTCTTCCCTGAGGCCCCGCGGAGTGGCTGTCCGGAGAAACAGGAGGGTTCCACTGCACCATGCTGGCAGCAAGGGTTTAGGGTTAAGAGTTTGGGTTTGGGGTTTCGGGTTTAGGGTTTAGGGTTAGGGTTTAGGGTTTAGGGGTTCATCAGATTTTTAGAAGGTTTTCATGCGATTGAGAGGTTCAACAGGTTGAGGGGTTGACCGGTTTATTCGGCCCGTCGCCGGCAGCAAGGTTTATGGTAGGGTTTCAAGTTTGACAGTTTTGGGTTTGGGAGTGTCCGGGTCCTAAACCCCAAAACCCCAAAACCCTAAACCCTAAAACCCTAAAACCCTAAACCCTAAACCCTAAACCCGGTGAAGGGTGTAGGTTTCAAGGCTCCCAGGGTCCAGGGAATCACTCGTAGCGCTTTAGGTGTTTTTGTTGGTTTCGGGGCCGGGGCTCCCAGAGACTCCAATATCCCTTACTTAAGGAATAGACCTAAAATCTTACTAGGGATCCCATTATACTTTAAGGCATGTTCCTTAATTAAGGAATAGACCTAAAATCTTATTAGGGTTCCCATTATACTTTAAGGCATGTTCCTTAATTAAGGGATACTTGGAGTCTCTGGGTTTGGGGTTTGTGGGGCTCAGGGGTCCAGGCGCCAGGGATTCACTGCGTAGGGTTTTGGGGTATTTCGGCTGACTGGTTCTTAGTGTTATTGGGACTACTATAGGGTTTAGGGTTTAGGGTTTAGGGTTTAGGGTTCTTAGTGGGGAATGGGTTATTGGGGCTACTATAGGGGACCTTAAGGGACTATCATAGGGATCCATTCCCCCCATTCCCTACAAAGAACCAGGGAGTTGGGGGGATAGGCACCATTTGGGCCGATCGGTTCTGGGTCCGACCGATTCCTGGAACAGGAGTCGAGGGGCCATGTTGGGTTTCCAGGTTTCACTTGGGTTGGAGTTGGGCTCAGAGCCGAAGCCGGAAACGGAAACCTTGAGAAACCCCTGAAGCCCTGCACCTGAAGCAGCCGACTACTGTTACCCAAGACCCAAAATCACCCAAAAAAAACCGCAACCTTTGAACCCTAAGCCCCAAAGCCTGAACCCTGCACCCAAAAGGCCCTCAACCCCTAGTATCCCGCCCCTTCCTTGCTCGACTGTCTCGTCCACTTCCAGGCAAGCACAAGCTGAAGCGTCAGACATCAGAAGCTGGCTTCCATCAGACCTGGGTGTGGGTTTAGGGTTTAGGGTTTTGGGTTTTGGGGCTAGGGTTACGAGGTAGGCCTTCGGGACATGTTACATTTCCCCTTATGGGGCCGAAGAGGATCTTATCTACCAGTATTTTCCAAAGGCTTTACAGGGCCAATTTCGTGCATCGTTGGTACTGCCCTAAACCATGCCAGTTAATTGAGTCCCATCTT